GGCTGCACCAGTTTGCACTCCCACCAGCAGTGTATAAGAGTTCCCTTCTCTCCACATCCTCTCCAACACATGCTGTTTCCTGTCTTGTTAATTATAGCCATTCTGACGGGCGTGAGGTGATATCTCATTGTAGTTTTGATTTGCATTTCCCTGATAGTTAATGATTTAAAATGGTACTTTTAATCATGGCATGAAATAGACATAAAATCTAAGGCTATTTTTCAGTTATTTTTGAGCGTTTTCAGGTTGGAAAATGCATTATAAAAAACTTAAAGATGTTGCCAGGTTTACTCATCGAGTACTTCTGGCACTGTAAAAATAAGAGACAGAATAACACCACAGTTACAAGCACTGGGACTCAAGAGTCATTAAACGATAGGACTGAAAAGAGCTCTATGACTCATTTGTCCAGAATTTGTAAAATTCCTTCTGTTTTCCAATAAAATAATTAAATCTAAACCATGCATATTCTCTAAAGCAGTCTTCCAGTCTGTCAACATGAGTGCTCTCTTGGCTAGGTGTTTTGCTAGAAATTAGCAGGAACTGCTTTTTTCCTCCATTATCATCTGGCAAAGATGTAAAACCAAACTGCCCAGCTCCTTCTGCCCACTGTGCTGCCTTCTGCTGGACCATGTGAGAGAGAGAGCCAGCAGGTCAATGCAACTGTTTCATAACACTGTAGATGTAAAATGTGAATGACAAAACGCATGTCCCGTACCCGAAACAAATTGAACTTCCCTGAATAAGTACAAAAAGAATCTTGTAGTAAATTGACTTTTACAGTGGAAAAACATCAGCAGAGTGCTAATTCTACAAGTAAACAACTTTGGTCACTTTGAGAGCTGGTGATAAAGAAACTATTCGGTCTTAGTCTCCTTTTCAAGACCTTGGAGGCAAATCTGGAGCAATAGTTGTAGCAATGGGTATACTGTAGTGTCAATCTTTTATGATGATTTGTGTGTTAATACCAATCACGTTTTTGTGAGTCCGTTTACTCTGGGTTTTTTCTATGCATAAACATGGGTCATAGTAGATACATGCTGAATAGATCATGTCCACAGGTCTCTTGCCACACGTATCAAAACTTTTCAGAGCTGTTTCCTTTGTGAAGATTCATTTTAAGTTGGTAAGATCCTTTTCTCTGTTGTTCATCCCCATGGCTGAGAGTTGCCATGATGTAGGTCCAGTTTACCAAAAAACACTCATCCAGGGTTCCAACTTCCTCATCTGGAGAGGGGGCAAAGGACTGATTCACATAAATAAACAACTCAGGTTACAGTTTAAGGAATTTTTCGATGAAGTCAGTGAGTCCTTGGATGGTTCAGGCTTGCTCTACAACCCACTTCTTCTTCTTTTTTTTTTTTTTTTGTGAGGAAGATTAGCCCTGAACTAACATCTGTGGCAGTCTTCCTCTACTTTGTATACGGGTCGCCGCCTCAGCATGGTGGGTGAGTGGTGTAGGTGCACGCCTGGGATCCGAACCTGAGAACCCAGGCTGTTGAAGCAGAGTGTGTCGAACTTAACCACTACACCACTGGCTGGCCCATACAGCCCTTCTTTGTTGTCATTATACGGGTGTCTCCCACAGCCTTTAGCAGGATGTCAGTTTTTTTCTTGGTGTCACTGGCACGTTCCTTTGTTCCCAGGGAGACTGCAGGGGAAGAAGGGGGCTCCCGAGTGGCTGTTTCTGGGGAGACCTCCATAGGTCCTTCCCCATGGGCAGCAGTAGAGGGAGGGAGATGCAGCACGGACTCCAGCTCCTCAGCCATCTTGCTCGGTCTGTTTCCGCTTTTAAAACATAAAAAATGCTTCATTGAACATCTTTGAAACTAAAGCTTTGTTTGGTTTTCTTATTATTTCCTTAAGCTAAGTTCTTATAAGTGGAGTTATTTGAGGTGTTTTTAAAGTATAAAAGAAAAACATCCATTCTACCTTTTCCAGGCAGCTACTCTTGGTATTTTGATGTATTTCCATCCATTCTTTGTTTCTATGAACTTGACCAGATTGTCTTTTGCTTATTAGTGAGATCTTGTTATTATTCGGTTAAGAGGTGAATGGCAGGGGTGAGGAACTTATGCTATGATTATTTTTCAGTCTTTTGTAGGGTATAATGAATATGGCCTTTGCTACATACTAGTTCTAGCAGTGGGGAAACAGGATTGAATTCTTTTCAAACTTTAAAGAAATGGTTTTCTGGGGCTGCCCGGTGGCGTAGTGGTTAAGTTCGTGTGCTCCGCTTCCAGTGCCGGGGTTCGCAGGTTTGGATCCTGGGTGTGGACCTACACAACTGCTCATCAAGCCATGCTGTGGTGGCATCCCACATACAAAATGGAGGAAGATTGGCACAGATGTTAGCTCAGGGCCAGTTTTCCCTAAGCAAAAAAGAGGAAGATTGGCAACAGATGTTAGCTCAGGGCCAGTCTTCC